TACCATAAACCACAGCTTCTGAACACATTCCAACTGACAAGTGCTACCACGCCCAAACTGCTGTGCAATGGTTTTATTGCATTTAATTTTACAGAGAACCATACACAGCACTGTAATTTAGATACTAAAAGGGAATAACTTAAGTGTAGTGCAGAAGAGGAAGCCACAAACTGGATGTGTGTAGGACACTGCTGGCTTTATGTATTACTAAGTAATTTAGTCTGAAACAATCATTTGAGTACGTGCTTGAGCTTCAAGTCATCCAGAGCCCAAATACTCTTTGGTGGCAGTCGCACCTAACTGATAAAGAAGTCTCAAGTCTTGATCTGCCCCCTACGAACCACCCTCCTGCAGCGATGAAAGCCAGGTGCCACAGTTACCATTCATGCAGACACTCCAGGGTTGAACCTTCAGAGCAAGTACTGCACACATTTTTAACAAAATTAGCCAGGATCCTGAAGAGCGATCCTCATTTGGAAATGTCTCACCAACACTATATCTTTTGGTGGTGCTCCAGGTAAGGCTCAGTCAAGCATGATAAATTCTTGCACGTACTTTACACAAGTTTGGGCCAACAAACACCAGTCTACCTACCCCAAACCTAAGGTGCTTATTTTGAAATGCTGCCAGGCAGGTTGACTTTACCAGCATAGAAAAATAACTCTGTGAGACTGAGAGAGCTGTCAACACCACAGTGGCAGCAGCTTCTTGAATGCCAACTCAAAACACACCCACAACCTTCAAGGATAGCCACCATAACAGTTCACTTGGCTATGCATAGCACAAAACAGATAGCATTGCCCAACTCCACCCAGGACAAAAACCAGCATCAACCCTCTCAGAAACAGTTCATGGCAACACCAGGTTGCCACTTAAAAAAAAAGTTACCACTTAAAAAAACCCCAACAAAACAAACAGACCTTCAGTCAAAGAAAATCAAATAAAACTGCAGCAGTTCACACAGGCCAATATCTACCCCAAACTCTGACTAGCAGCACACTGGTATTCACAAACAGGTGAGGCTTCTTTGCCATTTGAACTCTTACCTTTCCAACACTTAGGAGATTAGATTCATCATTAATTTAAATACTGGACACAGTACACTGCCATAGGCATTTTTTCAGCCAGCAAACCACTTGAGAGAGTACTGAAAGGCCTATTATGAAGGCAAATCGCTATCCTTTTCTTGAATGACCACATGAAAATCAGTGACTGTTCCACAATGGTTTGAAAGGGCCTTTTGTCTGAAGGAAAGGACAAGGAGTCACAAAGTATTGCAGATTCATTTGTAACTCATGGCTTTGGAAGAAACTGCAGAGCTTCAGTTAAAAGCAAACCAAGAAAAGAACAAGCTTTGAAAATGTTATGCCACAATCCTTTCCTACTATGTACATGCAGAGCATATTTTTAGTTGCTTTTGTATTATAAAAAGATGGGCTGGCATTCTAGATTATTGTTGTTTTACAAGAGAAGCTTAAAACACTTGCAGAGTTTTGATTTTATTCCCAAACCCTAATTAGGGTCTGCAGCAGTATTGTATAAACAGAAAATCATCAGGAGCTTTTTCTGGTACATCTAGTAAAAGTATAATTGTACTGGAAAATAAGTGAACCATTGTCACTGTTGTTTAATAATCACGTTAGTAATTGAGCAAATTTGGCATTGCCTATAAAGTATAAGATGGCCAATTCAAGAAAAAGACTTACTTTATACTGAGAAACCAGCATTAGACTCTAATTTTGAAGTCTGTTTCTGAAGTCTCACCCAAAAAAAAATTAATTACATCTGCCGACAACTTCCCAGAAGAAAAAAATGTTTTACTTCTCTGCCTACTCCAATGCCACTTCAGTTCCCAGATTTTACACGCAAAGGTACACACAAATTCAAAATGGGACTTGCACATACGATTTCATTAGTTTCTAAACAAGCTTCACATGCACAAACTTTCAGCAGGACTGACAGTGGAAGCTAACAACCTAAAATAGATTTTCTTCTAACCCATACCCAGAACTAGGGAATTACTGCATTTCCATTCAAAAACAGGAGTTACAGATGACAGACTTGCCCTCTTCCCTGCATGTCCCACCCATGTACCATGAAACTAAACAAAGTGTCAGTTTTCACTCCCCAGCTCCTTGCCATATCCCAAAATTTATATTCCCTGTGCTCCCACAATGGCAACAAAACCAAACAATGTATTTTGCACACACCATTGGTCAAGGTGCCAGTTACATTTAGCTCTTCTGACCACCTTATCAAATTACATCAGGCAAGGAGCTGGTACTTGGCACATTACAAGACTGCACAAGGGCCAAAATTTTTGCTGTAGGAAGCAGCTGTGATGCCACTCCCATATATACATGGGAAGTAAAAGTCCTGCCATGACAAATACACCCCCAAGGTAACTATACACCCCCTCATTTCATGCTCTCTAAAACAAGAGCTTACCATTCTGAGGACTGTAAAGCGACTCTTGCCAATGCAAAGTAGAGGCTAAACCATGCCACACATCTTGAAGCTCAAGGTGCAAGAAACCCACAGGGCATAGAGGTGTGACATGCAAAGCCCCCTGTTAATCTCAGTGAAGTTCAGGATCCAAATTCTTAGATTTATTAATGTTACAGAGCACTGCTTTCAAACAACTTTTAACAGGAGAAGGTGTCAGGCTAAAATAAAGGTGCTTCACTACTGTTTCTTTTTATACTAGAAGAAGAAAACTGTGAGAAAGCTGCTGATGTATCTGAGGAAGGAAGGCAGGAGGAACAGAAAAACTGAAGCATTAGAACAGTGCAGAAAAAACTGCACTGTGCAGAAAAATGCTGTACAGCGTAGAGAGTAGCACCACACAGGAGCAGTATTTCTCAAGAGCAACATGGATAATAAAATCCTTGATATTAGCTACAAATCAACTGCAATTAACAGTTAACTGTTATTTTTCTTCCCTAGATCTTTGTGCAAAGTCTCACTGCCCTTTGGCGTTCTGCTCCAAGTCATTACACAGCTTTACTTTTATCCTTCAGTGCACAGTGAAAAGTGGAGTTTGACCTTTCCTTTATATTTGTAAAGCAGCACAGCAGATTGTTTTGAGAACATGACTGAGGTGGGGATTTTTCTATTCTGAATGACTAACATTGCTAACAGTGTCTAAAGAAGTCTAAAACATGGCCTCTGAAAACACACCAGGAAACACAGACCTTTATAATGACAACAGAGACCATATGTGTGGGTAAAAAAGTACACAGACATAACGATTTGTGAGATATAATGCAAAATATATGCTGTCTACAACTGCTGACAGGCACATGATTGCTAGAGGAAAAACTTGAAGAAAATATAAAACACATTGTAGGCCACTGGAAACTCTGTACTTGCTCTTAAAAACAGGCCTGAATCAATTTCAGTTCCAGACAAGCATTTCCTTAAAATTTGGGAAACAGCAGGAAGATGTCCCAATATAGCCTTGTTTCCGTTTCTTTGAGCAAGAAGGACTAGATAAGAATAACAGATCTACATTCAGAACCAAAGCGCTCTCAACACAGAAAGACGCTTGTGTTCAGTTTTAGGCTCAGTTCAGTTTTAGGCTTTTACTCTGTATCAGACATAACAATAATTCTCAAGCACATTTCTTCTCATGCATCAGCCTGGGCATAAGGCGCTGTGGAAACAGACCCTTCACTTAAGGATAACCCTGAGGACATTTTGAAGGGTACTTAGTTTAATTCATCTTAATCATAGCACTTTTTTATGCAGTAAATTTCTCAGAGTTGTGGCCTTACCTCCTTACAGTTATACAGCACCTGCCACACAACAAGCCTTATCTTGTTTAGTGTCTCATTACATTTAACAGATCCTGCTGCTCTCAAAGGGCCAAACTCCTTCCACTTCTCTAGCACAATTAGTGGGAGAACACTCACAGCCTAGCACCAGTGTTTGGCTCCAGCAGTTTGTGATGGCGTCTCACTAAATTCATCAACTTGTTCTGACCTGGAAATCATTCTGCATTTGCACGGTTTGACTGCATTCACAGAAACAATTGTGGCAAGGGCACAGTGTCCTGCTTACAGCAGCTAGAAGACTCTAGTCAGTGGCATTCAACAGGTTGCCATCCAGGATTTCTTTCATGGATAGTGCAAATACATTCCTAGTTAACCTGACATTCTACACGCAGCAGCCTTTTCCACTTTCTGTGTAGGAAGTTTTTAGTTTACTTTATAACTGCATCAAGAGCTCGAAGAAACAGAAGAAAAATGCCTCTTGCAAACACTGTTAATTCAAACGTAAAGGTTAACAAAATAAAAAAGATTCCCACAGAAGATCATTAGTTGCTGTGAAGCACATTTTCAGGCTGAAATCAAACAAATCAATCCAGTGGAATGTGATCTGGAATGAAACAGATGGATTTTCTGTGGTGCCTCTTAGTTCTCCAAAAGAAAACAAATCTGGTAGTACAAGGGATGCACAGCTCCAAGGGATGAGGCTGAGGGTGGGGAAGGAGCTTACACTATTAATTTACAGCGCAACAAAGGAGGCATTGCATTCTGATAGAGAATAAGAGTACTGCCAGCTGCCACCGCTTATCAACGAATTCCATACCTACGAATTTTGTTACGCATAGTAAAAAAGACAACAAATACTTAAAAAACCCAACAAATCCTAAACTAAATACAAAATCAGTTACAAAAAAGCCCTATCATCTTGGCGGTCTTTTACCTTAGCAGAGATAAAAAAGAACGGCAAATGGGCGGATTTACGCCGAAACAGCAGCCGAGGCACAGCGAGCTCCGTGCCTACCTTGCGGTGTGGCAGCGCTGGCAGCAGCGCTCACAGCCCCGCCAGAGCCCCCGGCGGCGGTTCGGGACCGAACGCTCCGCTGCCTCAGCGCGCCGGGCACTGGCGGCCACGCTCAGCGACACCCGGGGCGCGCAGTTAATCATTTATGGCCGAGGCTGTTACCGAATAGCCTCCAACAGCCCAGCCCCGCTCCTGCTCCGGAGGCGCCGATGGCCAGCGGAGCGGCGGCCGAAGGGGAGCGGCGGCGAGCGGCTCCCGGGCGCTGGCGGAGCGGGTCCCGGCGCACGTCAGGCAGGGTCCAGGGAGCGAGGCGGGCCCGGCCGCGGTCCCCGCGCCGCCAGGAGGGGCCCACCCGCAGCCGGGGCTCGGCGCCGGGATCCGAGGCGATAGAGCAGCGGGTGGGGCACCGCGGCAGCCGCACCCGTCCCTCCCCGGAACCCCTCGGCACGAAACTGCCGGCGGCCCCCCGCCGCCCGGCGCAGGTGCTGCTGAGGGGAGCCGACGCGGCGCCTTACCTGGTGCGGCCACGGCTGAGGCCGAGCACGGGCTGGGGCCGGCGGCGGCCGTGGAACCGCCGCCCTCCCGCGGACACGCCTCGCGCCCCGCCCCGCTCGCCAGCACCGCCCCCGGCCCGCCCCGGGCTGGGCTCGGGGCCGGGCGGCAGCGGCGGGACGGGCCCGGGGCGAGGCCGCCCGCGGCGTCGCCTCCGGGGCGCTGCGGCGTCCGGGGCTCTCTGCGCTCGGGCCGGGGGAGCTGTGAGGGGCGGAGAGCGGCCCCCGGGCCCGGACACAGGATTTACGGGTACCCCGCTTGCCACGCACAAACAAAACACACCCGACGCGCAAGGACAGCGCTGGGCCTCCTGTAAGGAACTATTCACGAACTTCTCCGTAAGTGAAAGTAAACAGGCGACATCAGTCACGGCCAGCAGATGAATTTCATCCTCGAGAAGAGATGACCGAGAGGGCACTTCATAATGTGTATAAATATTTAAAGGGTGAGGGAGGTGTGTGCTATGAGGATGGATCAGGCTCTTAGTGATGATGTTGAGCACCAGAGGCACTGAGAAGAAACTGATGCACCGGAAGTTCCACCTGAACGTGAGAAAGAACTTTACTGTACAGTGACCATGCATGGGAACCAGTTGCCCAGAGGCTGTAGAATTTCTCTCTCGGGAGATACCCAAGAACCCTCTGAACACAATCCTGTGCCTTGTGCTCTGGGATAACCCTGCTTGAGCAGGGAGTTTGGCCCACATGACCTACAGTGATCTCTTACAACCTTACCCGTTATGTGATGCTATAAATCTCTATGAATACGCATGGCAAACAGTGAGAATATAGAAATTTACCAAAAGTTTTTTAGTAATCAGTGTTTTAAAATACCACCTAAAAGGTGCAAATAAAATACAGTCAGGATTGTTAACACAAAGTTAAAGAAGTAATAAGTAACTATCCACTTGAATCTAAACACTAGAATGCAGAGGTACATCCATACACTTGGAACAAAAAGCCAACCAAACAACAACAAAGAAAAAACCCAAACCAAACCCACCCCACCCCCCCACCAAAATTCCATAAACAGCTACAAAACAGATTTACTGTCAGCATTGGCATCTTACACTGTCATAAGCATTTCCCTTAGCCCAAATACATATCAGTTCTCATTTTTGTTAGCAATAATTGTCACAAGCACTGGAAAATCATGGTGCTCCCTCTCAAAATGGTTGCGCACCTCTTTTCCAGCTAGCATAAATGGGACTTTCCTGGTAATAACACACCTCTATTTGACTCCCTCCCCTCAGCCAGGAAATGAACTTCACTGTTTGGAGGCAACACTGGAGCCTTACTGTTTTCAACCAAGGATTCTGCAACTGCTGCACTGAAAATCATTCAAGGTGCAATTTATAATGAGAACATAACCAACCCACCCTGCAAACCAGACAGAGCTGGCAGCGTTTCCTCCTGGCAGAGAACTCCACAGTGGGACAGTGCAAGGCTCGCTGCGACAGCGGTGCCCCAGGAAACCTCACTGGGCGCGTCCTACTCTGTTCACGCACGGTGGCTTTGTTGATATCTGTCAAATGCACTTGTCCACCTGCTGCAGAAAGCTGGGCATGAATTACATAGTCAATGTTATGTTAAGGCCACAGGTTGAGAATGTCTGCAATTGGAATAATAGCTTCAGAAGTATTCAGATCGCCAGTAAATGCTTCTTTATTGTAAACAATGTAACTTGGAACGTCCAGGCTTGTATTTGTGTAGGGAGAGTGCTCCTTACAGTAATGCCAATATTTGTCTGCACCCTGAGCTGTATGAATTTTGCCTGGGAGTTTTGGAAACGATTCTGAAGCTCCAGAGAATGGTAGATTATATTCATAAAATAAGGGTGCCACTGACCTTTTAGCAAAAGAGAATAGATGTGAATCAGGGACCTGAGATTCATCTAAAGGAACACAGTGGAAACACACAGGATGAAAGGCTCTAAAGGCTTTACAAATTATATTTGGATGAGGGAGAGCAGGGAGAAAGAGAATGTGGGAAAAAGAAGAATGAAAAAGGATCCTGCTGTTTAGCTCATGCATAAACTGTATGTGCCTAGCCAAAGGTCACTCCTTTTATTTTCTCATTAATTTCAATGACGGTAAATGGTATATGAAGAACAATCTAAAAATAAGAACAGCCAGAAATAGCTTAGAGTTTTTGTGTGACAGTGTGGCAGGAAGAAAAGCCTGAACTGAAACTTCATTCCAGATCTTTACTTCTGACTTTTGAAAAAGTAGTGACTTAAAGTTAATTATTTAAGATAAACTGTAAATCTATTTAGAGAAGTTAAGCAAAAGTTAAGTGGTCTACTTTTTAATGCATTTTCCAATAAAGTTTTTATACTCTGTGTACACCAAAATTAATTCCTGAGGGATTTTTTTTCATCTATTGTTCTTGTGAGAAATGGTCTATATGGACAGTTTTGTAGGGGAGTTTTCTGGGTTCTAAACACAAGTGAAAAAAAACCCCACTAAGTACTAGGCAGCTGTAAACAAACAGAAGAGGAATAACAGCTTTTGGAAGCTTTCAGGTGCATGCAAAAGCTGGCACAAGGAAATTGCCATACACAGCAACTGAAAGTAGAGGCTGAAATGGGAACATAAAAGGAATAATGTATGTTTTGCTGTGGGGCTCATGAATGGCTGCCTCAAACAAATCTTCAGGCAACAGGAGCTCTTCATACAGAGACTGATGCAACATCTGCCAACCCTTTTTTTCTAGGGAATAATGGGCCAATATCTAGAAGGCAATCTACAGACAAGGTAACACAGATTCTACATCAGCATTGAAAGAATTTTAGCATTACGCCACCAGCTTTTCAATTTTTTTGCAGCAGATGTGTAAATCTGCATTGGTTTGCAGCATATTTGACTGTATGCTGATCTTACATTTGCAAAGGAGGACGCCAGCTGCCCAGAGTCTAGTTCTCATCTTCTGTTTATGCCAAATAGCAGTATGAAACTTATGGTTAACATACGTTGCAGTGGTTCACTTTCTGTGTAGAGGTTAGTAACTGATAAAGGTAAAATGAAAAGCAACAACAATTAAGCATCCCAGATAGAACATTTGGGCTATATTAGAAGTGAGATGACCTGCTCAAAGCACCAACTTTGGATTTTGCATTAAATCTTTTGGTCACTTTATTTCCTGCACAACCATGGTTGTATTTCTGATGTGAGCCCAGACAACTCATTTGATTTCTCTCAGCCTCAGTTTGCCATCTGCAAAGAAAGAAAGGAATTTCTAGCCCTCAGTGTATATGACAAAGATTAACAGATACTCCAGGTGTAACTGTACAATGTAGTAACTTTGGCAGGAAAGGTGTCTGAATGATTTCTTGCTCACTTGCAGCCTCCCTGACTCCATTCTGGCACTGTAATCTATTATTCTATTCAGTTTTTGAAACCTACCCGCAGTCCAGACCACTGAAATGACCTGGGTTAAAAATACCACATCACGCCCCTCTTTCTTTAAAGATTTTTTAAACTGAGATCCAGTTGTTATTGAAGCTCCAGCAGCTGGTGACCTGTCATGAAAAGGACCTTGAAAAGTGACATGTCATACTCTAACATCAGATAATGAGCTGCAGTAATGCAGAGGGATGTCACAACATAGCCTTTGTAAAGTCACTGTTTTTGAAGGGGAAAAACACCCCTCACATATGATATGGGCTCAATATTGATTAGTACTTGATTAGTCTTGGGGCTAGGGATGGAACAGGAGCCAACTGAAAGCAAAGGTAACAGGACAATTACACAGGGATATATTTTATCTCATCTCCTTCACACACCTACTGCTCCCACAAGACTGACAGACTCCAACGCTTCCGTTGCATCAGTAACACCACATCCTCTTGGACTGCTTCTTGGCAATCAGTTTTAAGGTACTGCCTGAAGCAGGTCACTGCTGTTTTTCCTGACTATAGATAAGGGACAGTAGCAAAGAAAGAAATGGTGCAGAGAACTTCTCAGCTGCAGAAATAAAGTGCAGGTTTCCTGAGTCCTGCCCAATGCACTGAGGACAAAGCCTCATCTCCTGCTATTTGGTGAGTTCTGTTGCCTCCCCACAGGGACTGTGTGCCATGTGCAGCAGCAACAGGAGACCATGGACCAGGGAGGAGGGGTGTCTGGAAGGGAGCTGAGATGTGTTTCTCTAAGTATGTATTAGTTTGTTGGTTCACCAGAATCAGTGATTAGAAGTTTGTTAATTGGCAACAAATTAAATCAATTGAAATTCCTCTGGCTCAAAACTGTTTCTGGCTTACAACAAGGGAAAATTGATTCAACACAAAAATTTGGAAATAAAGTAGTACAGTCACAGTGGTCTGGCAGCAGATCTGAGGGTGAAGATACAGAAAACAGCAAATTAAAAGTTATGCAGCAGTTGCTAATCTAGGGCATAAGTATTACAAGGGTCTTTTAAGCCAGAAGGAGGAGTGATAATAACATTTTATCCTGGCTTTTGTTAACAGCAGTTAAAAACTGGAATGTTAGCGTAAAGACGTTCAAAGAGAGGCAGCAGAAGTGATTAACAGGAATATATCTTCATGAGATAGGTGTTTACATGCTTGGCTTATGAGAAAGCAGCCAAGGAAAGAAAAGACAGAGAATCCTTGCAAGGGACCTGGGTGGAATCCCAAAGAGCATTATATAGAGTGTAAGCATGGAAAGAAGAAAAAGAAAATTCATTATAACTATAAAAAATTTTGACAGCCACAGTGGACCAAAACCCTAGAGAGTTTGGCTTCCTACATGTTATCAGCAGAAAGCTGTATTCAACATTCAGAAAAAATTTAGAAATAGAAAAGCCTCTCCACTCGCCTGTGCAATCCCAAGCAAAAAAAAAAAAAAAAAAAAAAAGAATGGCATCTTTTTTAGCCCTCAAAGCAGGCCAAATTCAGAAAGAATAATTCACAACCCACACATAAGTCAATGGCCATTATGTTTGCTCAGACAAGACCTGAATTTGATTAAATGCTATGAGCACGCAGACTATATACTATATTTTAAAAAATCTGGTTTGCAATGAAACTATCTATATCAATGTTAATTTCAATTGCCTTTCTGAGATCTCACATTTGGTTAAAAATACAAAGTACCCAAAGGACTGTGACACTCAGAGTGCAATATTCTAAGAAATGTTTTTTTTTTTTTTAGTTTTCTTTTTTTAAGAAAGTTTTCTTAGAAAAAAAAAAATCTTTTTTTTAAGACTGGCAAAGAGGCTAGTTAAAACCTTCACAGAAACATTCAGCTCAAAAAAAGAACCTGAAAGAACCTGAGCATTTTCTGATTCCAGAAGCAACACAGCTGTATCTTGTGGTTTCTGATGTTTCAGAGTGAGTGGACTTGAGCAGGGTGGTAAACACTTATGAATGAGTGAAGTTCAAAAACAAACAAAAAGAAGCCTTGAGCTCACTCTTGTAGTAAATGGGAAAAAAGTGAGGGAAAGCTTGGCAAAAATCAGCATAATAGTGGGCTTATTGTTGAATCTGAAAGCGTCATTTTCCAGTGGTGTCCCTTTTCTGGGAAGCGGCACAACCACCCTGAAAGCGCTTTCTATAGAGATGATAAATTTGTGGTGGAGATTTATGCACATTCAGATTAAGTCAGGAAATCACTAATGAAAAGGATAATTAAATAGAGAGACAAAAACCTAGAAGAAAAATTACCAAAAGCTCCCAAAACAAACACAGCTAACAATACACCACATATATCAGGTCCTGGGATTCTGACTCTGACTTTGGCACCCATTCTTGCTTGAGCAACACACAGGGTGAGCAACCTCATCCTCTTCCTCACTGTGCTTCCCATGACTCTAGAGAAGAGCAGTCTGCAAAGCAGCAGATTCTGTGTGAGCAAGATGAGGCTTGGTATCTTTGGTCCTCTCTCTGTTTCTTTTTGCACAAGCTCTTAATTCATCAGTAGGTGGAAAAGTATAGAAGAAAAAAATGTTCTCTACTTATGGAACTGTTTGAGGCCACAGCACTCCTGGTCCTGAGGGAGCATCCAAAAAGAAGGGGAAAGATACAGGGATAACTCTCAGTGAATCAGTCAATCTCAAAAAAATCCCAAACAAACAAACAAACAAACAAAAAGTGGTTGGTTGGAAGAGTTCCTGATAATAGCTTGCAGTTCCAGGCTATTGAAGCTGGGTTAATGCTCATCTTTTTGAGGAGTCCCACCATGCATTCAGAGTGCTGGTATGCACTCAGCACCAGAGAGACAGCCAAAGAGGTACTTCTGTTAGCAGCTGGGGTAGACTCCTCTGTGGTGGAACTAGACCCTGGGCTGCAGAGGCTGCTCTCACTGTTTAGCTTCAGACATCCAAACTGAGTGCCTAAGGCAGCAGCCTCAGGGCCTGGGCTGTGGGGGGAGCTGCAGGGATCCCACTGACCCTGCAGGAGCCTTCAGCCCCAGATCCCTAGACTGAGGTGCCTGCAGTTAAACTGAAAATCCCCAGTGCAGTGATGACTTTGTCACAGTGTTGTGTTACTTTCCTGCAGCACCTGCTTGTAAAGAAAACTGCCCTCAGTAACACAGAGCACTATGACACTGTCTGATCTAGCAACTTTATATTCCCAAAGGGTTTGGGCCACCCCAAAATTTCAGCAACAAAAGAACAGGGAACTTCCATTAGCTGGTAGCACTAGCAGATTGCTGTCCTCTGTCTGGTCTTGATACTGTGAGGAGAAAATCAAGAGTTCATAAGCTAAATGAGAGCTTTTGAACATTACAGTCTCCATTTTACAAGCCCTGTCTTTCTAGGCACAAGCAAATGAGGGTCTGTGAAAGCTGCTTTTGACAGAGGTCACTTCTTCCCTTTTGACTTTCAAATATGTACAGCCAACTCAGAGTGTTGATGTTAAAGCAAACACAGTGACTGAACAAAATTTAGCAAAAAAGCCCTTCTCTTTTTTATGACTGTAACTCTAAAACATGAAAATTCAGTACTGAGTCATAGTCCAGTGTGCAAACTTTTCCAGCTTTAAAGATATGGTGTACAAATGCTGCAGCTGTGTGATAATCTTTAGTTTGTGCACCATGAGTTTTACATTAATTAATTTATTTACTTTCTAAATGTTGTCCCACATCTCTAAAGCGGATTCACTCCTAGTGTCTGATTAATCTCATGTGGGAACTAAAGACAGATGAAAAAATTGACATCTAAAAGATGTGGCTCTGCTTTCAAGTTTTGCAGTGCAAGATGATCTGTAGTAGAAACTATTTACAGTATTTTCTCTCACACCACTGGACAAAAAAAAAAAGGCGCCACAAAAAGTGTAGCAATTCCAATTTCTGCTTCAGAGTTCTTTTCTAGACAGTGTGCAAAATGCTACTTCAGCCCCTGTCCTACTCTCCTTTCT